AATTGAGCTTGATGAATAATAAGTGTTCTACGTCTTCTTCATCGGTTCCTTCAATATGAATTTCATATTGAATCTGTCTTCATTTTATTTTCTGCTGGTTTCGTTCTTGCATTGTCTTCTCTGTCAGTTTCTATAATTTTTAATTTCTCAACATGGTATTAGAGCAAATGCTCCCTTCCGTCTGCAACTCTGTCACTTTCATTCTCGTCTGTCATGTGTTTGTTAAAATGCTCATTTCGTCTGCATTTTCTTCTCTGTGTCATTTCGTTTTTTCATTCAAGTGTTTACTTTCCTTGGGATTGGCTGTGTTATTTGGTTTGATGTTTAACAAAGAAAATGGGTGCTGGTCAGGTCTCACAATTGCCATCAGTTTTGTAAAAGTAGACATGCAGTGTTCACAATTGCAAATACCAGAGCACAAGGGATTGCAATTGGATCTGTTTATGGCGTTCTCTGTTGCTTTCTTCTCCAAAACTATGCAGAGCTATGCATCTGCCATAGGAGCAGTATTGATGCTGGGAAGAAAAATTACAGGACTCCAAATGAATTCACCATTATCCTTCTGCTCTATAGACGACATGATCAGCCAGTATGTCTGTCATTGGGGGAACTTCGTTCAGATATGTTTTTCACTCAGTTTTAGCATCTGATGTCCATTCCAACTGCTCCTGAGCTTTTAATCACTGAGCCTCCTGTTTCGATTCCTGCAAGTGCAGCAAGAAGGAGGATGTCATCAGTAATTTCCATCAATGTGTTATTCCGCCATTGATGATGTTTTTATGTCGTTCAAACTCCTGCAATTATAATGGCAGATTTCTGGTTTCTGCATCTCTTTTTATTCAGCCCGGTTTCAGAGCAATGGTGCTCACTAAATTCAACAAATCACCTTCAGTAACTTCGGATTCAACAAATCAGCAGCACCTTCAGCAGCTTCAAATTTCTTTCTTTCCATTCTCTTCTCCAAGATCAAGATGTTCCATCTTGAGGGGGGAGTGTTGGAATTGTATCTCCAGTCTCAGCACATAGATCAACAGAAATTCCCAGCACACCAGCTCACATGTTCAGCATGCCCTCAGCTCACGTTCACAGCATGCCCTTCCAGATTCTAGCCTCTTCTAGATTCTTCTTATTGTAGTTAGTTTGTTAGATTTACTCTATGAATAGAGCATTGTATTCACCTTTACAATTGAGCTTGATGAATAATAAGTGTTCTACGTCTTCTTCATCGGTTCCTTCAATATGAATTTCATATTGAATCT